TCCTGATCACACTGCTTAACGGCCATGATCTCAGAGACTCAAACAAATCTAGGAACCCAAAGGCTTTTGGCAGAAATTCGTCCTGTTCCTGCAGTAGGTTACTGGTGCTGGGCCGCTCCAGGTGGGAATAGGTTTCGTGCCTTGGCCTGTTCCCCCTGGTGGCCTGGTTACTGCCATCCTCCAGAGGCCACTGGACAGTCAGGTTTGGGCCTGCAGTGACGAGACACGCTGGGCCTCACCAGATGGGGGTGGAATTGGCCCTTTCCTCCTCATCCCAACGAGACCCCGAGTCGCTGCCTACAAATGGCCTCTCTGGCTCCTGATCAAGCTGATTAACGGCCATGATTCCAGAGACTCAGAAACAAATCTCGAAACCCAGTGGCTTTTCGCAGAAATACAGAATGTCCTGAACAAACACCCTGACTACCTGTATTGCAAACTATAATGCACAAAAAGAAAAGGAAAGAGAGAGAGCAAGAAGGAAAGTGCCTCCCATAGAGGGAGGCTGGGGATGGGGAAAGGGTGTTGGGGAATGGTGGAAGGGAAACAGTGGACATTGTTGGTGGGAAATGTATACTAGTGGACGGATGGATGCTGAATCATTTTATGACTGAAACCCAATTATGAAAAAAAAGACTTCTTTCAAGCTTTATTTTTGGACATGACTGTTTACATATTCTAATACCATTAAAAATATCCTTTCTTGGAGCCGGAGCAATAGTAGAGCAGATAGGATGCTTGCCTTGCACATGGCCAACCTGGGTTTGATCCCCGGGATTTCATATGGTACCCTGAGCAGCACCAGGAGTAATTTCTGAGTGTAGAGTCAGGAGTAACCCTCAGTATCGGCTAGGTGTGGTCCCAAAACAATATATGTACATATATATACATATATATATATAATCTATAGTATAGAGGGTAGGGCGTTTGCCTCATGCACATGGCCAACCCAGCTTGATCCCCAGCATCCCACATGTTTCTCCAAGCACCACCAGGAGTAACTCCTGGGTATGGCCGGGTATGACCCAAAAACAAAAATAAAATGAAAGGTATTCTGTTTGTAAGTTTCTAAATTGTAAATTTAGTTGATTTCTTTTGTGAATTCATGTTCCATATTTGTGTGGTTTTCTTTCTGCTGACCCATTTCAATTCATTTTCCAATACAACCATATCTTATTGATATAACTTTACAGTAATTCTTATATCTTACTGTCTGGATTTTTTGTGGGGATGATTTGGACCACACCCAGTGGTGCTCAGGTATCAAGACTGGAGTGCTCTGGGGGACCCTATGCAGTACATGGATTTAAACCAGTGTCACAAGTGACAAGCCAGACAAACACTTTAACACTTATACTATTTCTCCTGCTTTACAGTGGTCCTGGAAACTAGGTAGTTTGGGGCCTGGAGCCATAGTACAGAGGATAAGGCACTTACCTTGTACACAGCTGACCTAGTTAAATCCTCAGCACCCTACATAGTCCTCAGGAGTGATTCCTGAGCACAGAGCCAGGAGTAAACCCTTAGTACAGCCAGGTGTGACCCCCGCAGAAAAATAATTAATTAATTAATTTTTAAAAATAGATAACCAGGAACAGAGATCCTCTGCCCGTATCCCCCCATCTCCGGAAACTCAGCAGTCACACCCATAAGCCACCTCTGGCTGGTGCCAGATAATCTCATCATCGGCCACCATCCAGATCACATGTACTTCTCTTCTGGAAGAGAGCATAACATGACACTCGCCATAACCATGCCGCCGGACCCCACACCAGGCTGTTTCACTTGGAGCACCCCATACAGGGGCGGGTGAGACCCCTCCCTGCCCCAAGGAACCCAGCCCCGGCAGCCGAAAACCTTAACCAACACCGTGCTCACAGCCACTCTCCACACGCAAGTTAATCTATTCCTGGACATTTCATAGGACGCACCCTACCCATACTCCAAGAGTACCATATCACGTTTGATGGGGCTCAGAGCAGTAGGTAACCAGTCTTAGAGGTAAATATTTTTTTACAGGTATAGATATAAAAGCACACAAGGCTCAACCTTTAACAACATGTTAGAGATCTCTTATAAAAGGGCTTAATGGCCCCTACATGATATACAACAATCGTCATACTCTTTCCTCTAAGGACACCTTTTTTGTAGCATTTTCAGCAGTCTTTCATAACAAACAATACAAAATACATTAATTTGGTTCTGCTTTGAGTTCGAGATGGAAAACATACAAAATATGGTGGTGGGAAGGTGTGATGGTGGTGGGATTGGTGTTTGAATATTAAATTAAGTCAAATATTATGAACTACTTTATAATATAAAAAAATTTAAAAACTGGATAGTGATGGGGTGGATAAAACAACTAAAGAGTGGCCAAATGGCATTGGAGTGATAGTACAGCAGAGTGATAATAAGGCACTTGCCTTGCACTCACCCAATATGGGTTGGTTTCCCAGAATTCTTTATAAAGGAGCACTCTGGGTGCTCCTTTACCAAAAATAAATAAATAGGGGACCCGAAAGATAATATTTTATGGGGGCTGGAGAGATAGCACAGCGGGTAGGGCGTGTGCCTTGCACGCGGCCGACCCGAGTTCGATTCTGAGCATCCCATATGGTTCCCTGAGCACCGCCAGGAGTAACTCCTGAGTGCAGAGCCAGGAGTAACCCTTGTGCATTGCCAGGTGTGACCCAAAAAAGAAAAAAAAAGATAATATAGTATGTAGGGCACTTGCCTTGCACACAGCGAACCCAAGTTCAATCCCTAGCACCACACATAGTCTCCTGAGCTCACCAGGAGTGATCCCTGAGCACCAAGCCAGGAGTAAGCCCTGAGCACCATCAGATATGATCCCCAAACAAACAAATCCCTAGAAAAAAATATAAAAAGGATCCATTATATGACAAAAAAATAGAAACAAATTTTTTTTTTTGGTTCTTTTAGGGTCACACCTTACAGTGCTCATGAAGGCTTATTCCAGCTTGGTGCTAGGAATCCCTCCTGGCAGTACTCAGGACTCACGCTGTACTAGGCCAGGCCACCTCCCGCAAACATGACATGCACTCCAGCCTTTTGATGCAGCTCCCCAAAACAGAGTTGGCAATCCTGCTGAGGGTTGTAACATAGTACTCACAGAAGCAAAATTTAATGCTTTTAAATTAAAAACTCATGCAGTGCTATAAACTGATGTTTTCTCAATTTTTGAAAATCGAGTATTTTGGGTACTCAATCTTTTTTCCCCATATTTTGACCATCCTTTTTATATTTATAAATCTTCCTGGTGAAATAGAAATTGCATTTGGATTTCTCCTAAATCTGCAAGAGACGTTGTACCTTTCCATGGTTAGCCATCCAATTTGCCATCATGGAATGGCTCTCTGATGATTTAGCTCTCAGGGATTAAGAGATAGTGCATCAGGTAAGACACTTGCCTTGCATGCAGACCACCTGGTGATCCTCCACCACCACCTGGAGTGATCCCTGAGCACTGAGTAGGAGTGAACATACATAACAAGCTGGATTTCTACAATGTCCTCAACTGGGTTATGACTGAAGTTTCACTTCACATGGTCCTAATTGTCTGTTGTTATACAGTAAGACAGAGTGGTCTAGAAGGTGCCAGGAATAATTGATCACAAATTATAAAGCTGGAGTGATAGCACAGCGGAAGGGCATTTGCCTTGCACATGGCCGGCTTGGTGGAGCTGGGTTCGATTCCTCCGCCCCTCTCTGAAAGCCTGGCAAGCTACCAAGAGTATCTCGCCCGCACGGCAAAGCCTGGCAAGCTACCCGTGACATATTCAATACGCCAAACACAGTAACAACAAGTCTCAAAATGGAGACGTTACTGGGCCTGCTCGAGCTAATCGATGAACAACGGGAGGACAGTGCTACAGTGCTATAAAATTGTCCATTTAAGAGGCAGATGATAAGGATTCTTGGCTTTCCATTTATAGTACTAAGGAAGGTTTTATCCCCAAACCAGTTTTTGAGCGGTTCATCCTGACATCACTCCGCACACTGCCAGGAGTCATCCCTGAGCACAGAGCCAGGAGTAGCCTTGAGCACTTCTGAGTGTGCGTCCACCCTCCACAAAAGATAGGGGGGAGAAAATAGAAAAAGCAAAAGTCCCATATTGTCAGAAGACCCAGGGAAGAACTAGGGACCTTTAACCTCACAACAGACAGCTCTTCGAAAGGAGGGCTGGACATGGAGGCCAGCCACACATTCTAGGGGAAAAGAGAGCTCAGATAGAGAAAGGAGCACCAAATAAAGGGTGTTGGGAGAATCCTCCCAGGATGGGAGAAGCATGCTGAAAGTAGACTATAGACCAAACATGATTGCCACTCAATGCCTCTTTTGCAAACCTCAACACCCAAAAGGAGAGAGAGAATAGAAGGGAATACCCTGCCACAGGGGTGGGAGAGATGGGGGGGTGGGAGGGATACTGGGATCCGTGGTGGTGGAAAATGGGCACTGGTGGAGGGATGGGTATTTGATCATTGTACAATTGAAAACCAAAGCACAAAAATTTGTAAATCTACAACTGTACCGCACAAAAATTTGTAAGTCTACAACTGTACCTCATGGTGTTTCACTAATAAAAAATTAAAAAAAAAAAAAAAGAGGGCTGGAGTGATAGCACAGCAGTTTGCGTGCACACAGCTGACCCCGGTTCAATTCCCAGCATCCCATATGGTCCCCCGAGCACCGCCAGGAGTAATTCCTGACTGCAAAGCCAGGAGTAACCCCTGAGCATCCCCGTGACCCAAAAAGCAAAAAAAAAAAAATTTTTTAAAGAGAAAAAAAAAGAAAGAAATTGACGCTTGGTCTGCAACACCAAGGCTCCCAGACACCCCAAGAGACTGGGGTGTCTGGGAAGCCCGCCAGGCCGTTCCCTGCCCGGCGACCAGTGACGTCACTCGCGTCGCGCGCTGACGTCACCGGCGGGCGCCGCGCTTAAAGCGGGCGCGGGCGTTGGCTGCCGGGGCGCGGACGCGATGGAGTTGGCGCGGGAACTGGGCTGCTGGGCGACGGAAGAGATGGGGGTTCCCGCGGCCGCCCGGCCCCCGGAGTCGGCGCTGCGCAGGTGAGCGCCGCTCTGGGCGTCTCCAAGCTGGAGGTCCCCGAGCCTGAGCACCCGCCGTTCGCAGAAGGGGCGCCCTTTCCTCCCCGGCCGCCTCCCGCCCCAGGGAAGATGACCCCAAGCCACCCTCGGGCGGCGGCTCTTGACAGACCGTCTTGGGTGGATTTGCCGCGGCCGCCTTAGGGCTCACGCCACACACCCCACCCGGTGAGGCCGCCCTAGCCCTGGGAGGAGCCTCCTAGCCCTGGGAGGAGCCTCCGAGTTAACGGAGCCCCTTGCAGTGAGGTTGGAGTGGAGTGGGGTGGGGTGGGGATGTGCTCCCCGGGCTCAGGCTGCCCCTTCTGCCCCTGAGGCACCTCTGCACTCACCCGCACCCCTGCCCGTGTGAGCCTGCTGGGACGGGCAGAGATCACCACTGGAGTTTGAATCTGTCCAGTGGTAACACACACCCCCATACTCAAACTCAGAGTGCACCCCCTCACCCGCACTGTAAACCCGCATCCGTCTCCCCAGGCTCCTGGAAAGCACCGTTTCGCGGAGAAAGGGAATGTTGAATACCCCCAAAGAGAAGATGGGGAGAACCCCAGGAAGGGGCATCTGCTTTCCCCTAAAATGTGAGGTTTCCTTAGTGAAGTCTTTGCTGTGAGTGTCCTGCGCCCAGTGTGACCCGCTGGTCTCCCCCTTTGCTGTCCCCACAGGCTGTGTCTGGGCCAAGGAGCTGACATCTGGGCCTACGTCTTGCGGCATGTGCACAGCCAGAAGTGAGTTCAAATCCGCTGTGCTGGGAGGTGCTGATGGAACTGCGTCCATGAGCAACCCCACCAGCAAGACCTTTTCCATTCTCTCCCACTTGCTCCCCACTTAGGAGTGTCAAGAAGATTCGGGGGAACCTCCTCTGGTAACTTGGTGGTCAGAGTGACCTCTTCCCCACCCCATCCAGCACTTCCCCCAGCCCCAGCCCCATGCCTCTCGGCATTCCCTGACTCTACCCTCATTTCCTCAGGTACGGCCTCCAGAACAATTCAAAGGTGAGCAGCATAGATCACCCATTTCTTCCCCCCCCACACACACACACACAACACACATACACATACACATGCACACCCACAAAGGCCTAGTAAGATAAATTGTAAACCCAGGATTGTGCTGGGTAACACGGGGGATGCTGGGCCCAATCCCAGCCCTGATCCCTGCACTCAGAAAGCTTGTAGGCCAAAAAGAGACAAGGTGGGGTGGGGGGAGATGGGGGTGGTTGGGGGGCGCTGTGGATTGGAGGCATTGAAGTTGTATAAAAAGGGACCGATTTGGGGGAGATACTGAGACTGTGTAGGATCCCGTGGGTGCAAGGATCCAAGTGACGTGGGGGACTTTGAATAGTTGCTGGACTCGGTAGGGAGATGGGGATGGAACAGAAACAGGTACAGGCCGAAAGTTTATAGCTAGTTTGTGCTTCTGAAAACTCTGCCAGCCCCCAAGCCAGGTGAGGACATCAGTGTTCCAGGTGTAGTCCAGTGAGGTCGAGCTGTGGCCCTCCTGTGCACTGACCCTGTCCCTGATCCCCCAGGCCCATCGGAAGTCGGAACTGGAAGCAGCTGTTGCCCGTCTTCGGGCAGAGATTCAGGAGTTAGACCAGAGCCTGGAGCTGATGGCACAAGAGACTGAGGCTCAGGGTGACCCATGGGACTGGGCAGGTGGGCAGTAGAGTGAGGGGGAGGGGCTATGCTGATGGCCACCCCTGGTCCTTGCACAGAAGTGGCCGTGGAGCAGGTACTACAGAGAACACAAGACGCCCAGCGCCGTGCACTTCTCCTTCGTGCCCAGGCGGGGGCTGTGCAGAAACAGCGGCAAGTGCTCCAAGAGCCCACACAACAGCTGCAGAACCGGCTCCAGCACCTGCAGGACATGCAGAGGTGGGTCTCGGGGGCCCAGGGACCAGCCATTGCAAGGCTGGATTGGTCCATTTGACCCTTACTGGGGTCCCACATTTCTTTCTTTCTTTTTTTCTTTCTCTTTCTTTCCTTTGTTTCTTTTTTCCTTCCTTTCTTTCTTCCTTCCTTCCTTCTTTCCTATGGTTTATTAAAAAGTAGACAGGAAGTGGGAAAGGGAAGGAAACTCCCCAGTTGGGGAGGAACTTAGTATAGGACTAAGTTTCTCAATGTCCCTTTTTGGAATTGAAGGTCTAAAAAAGACCAGAAAGTTTTGTTCCTCTCAGCCACCTGTATTCCAGTGCCTAGAATGGCACCTGCAGTCTTTCTGGACACACCAGCCCCCCATACTGAAAAAAGCCGTGAATAAAGGTTAGGCCCCCCTGCCCCCGCCCCCCACCCCCCCTCACCCCCCCGCAGAACAACCACCTAGCCAGGCCAGACTCAGTTTCCCATGCAAGAGACAGGGCTTGAGGGGTGAAGCAATAGTACAGCAGGGAAGGCACTTGCCATGAAGCATTGGGATTTCCCTGTTGGGAAATTGGCTGCTTACAGCTGTGTCTCCTTGGATGAGTATTTAACTGCCTGGGGCCCCCATTTCTAAGATGTGACGAACACAGAACACAGGTACTGTGCTTTCTACTGGTTAGATGGCAGGAGTGATGGGAGCACAGCCTGTTGTTTCTGAGGGTTTTCAGCAGAGTGGTGATGTGATTCACCCAGGGTTTTAATAGGATCCTTCGCAGAACTGGAGCGATAGCACAGCGGGTAGGGAATTTGCCTAGCACACGGCTGACCCAGGGTCGATTCCCAGCATCCCATATTGTCCCGTGAGCACCACCAGGAGTAATTCCTGAGTACAAAGCCCAGAGTGACCCCTGTGCATCTCCGGGTGTGACCCAAAAAGCAAAAAAAAAAAAATAGGATCCTTTGCTGCTGGGCAGAGAACAGGGAGACCAGTGGGGAAGCTGATGCCATCTTCCAGTCTGAGGTGACCATGGCCTGACTTTGGAGGTGGCGCTCATGAGCCACAGATCTCTGTTCTCCCAGCTCCCTCCTGCAGGGACCCAAACCCCAACCACACCCCTCTCTGACCAGGAAAGCCAAAGTGGATGTCACCTTTGGGCCCTTGACATCAGCAGCCCTGGGCCTGGAGCCTATGGTTCTGGTAAGAATCCTGGGTTGTGGGGAGGGGGTGGGAAGTCTGGGGTCTTCCCAACATCTTCCCCATGGCCCATCCTCTTCTCCCCAAGAATGATGTTCGAGCAGCCTGCGCCCTGCGGACCCAGTTCCTGCAAAACCTACTCATTCCCCAAGCCAAAGGAGACAGCATCCAGTGAGTGTCCAGCATGTTTTGTTTTGTTTTGTTTTGAGACCACACTCGGTGGTGCTCAGGGCTTACTCCTGACTCTGTGATCACTCTGGGCCAGCTCAGGGAACCATATGGAGTGCTAGCAAGGAAAACGCCCTGCCACTGTACTATCATTCCAGCCTGGACGCTGGGCTTTGAAGGGAGTTATTTGTCTGTTAATTCCTCAGACATTAAGCCTCTGTGTTGTATCTCGCTCAGGCCCTGCCTTCCAGAACCCTCTGGGGAGCTGGAAGAAAAAGTGAGGTGCAGATTGTGCCATTAAGCTAAAGCATGCAGCTGGGGAGGACGGGTTCTTGGTGAGGTGACTCAACAGAGGAGAAAGGTTGAGGGTATTCCAGGTGACAGCTGGTGTGAAAGCCCCAAGACCAGTAAGGGGGCACTTGAGTCTGGTGTGCATGGATGCACCTGGTTTCCTTAGCTGTAAAATGAGCGGTGTGTGCCCCTGCCTTGTAGGGCGTGTCTGTAACATTCTCTGTCCCTTCCCATGACCCACAGAACCCATCAGGATGACCACTTTGGAATTTCCTACCAGCAGTGGATTGGCTCAGTGGAGGTGAAGGACTCTCAGCCAGGGCTGCTCCCTCTAGTCCCTACCTTTTGACCCCCACCTTATCCCCGTGCCCCTACCCCCTTTGCAGGCTGTCCCCATCCTACCCTGACTTCACCCCTCCCCACCACCAGACGCTGCTGACAAACCACCCTCCAGGCCATGTCCTGGCTGCCTTGTCGCACCTGGCCGCCGAGCGGGAAGCAGAGATCCAGGCCCTCGGCAGTCCAGCGGAGCCCTGGGATGCAGAGACAGACAGGTGTGGAGTGGGGTGTTCCGGCTCAGGAACTGTATCTGGAGGGCTGGGTTGGTGGCACCAGGATGGCCCTGCCCTACTGCCAAGTGGGTCTGAACTTGAATGAGAGTCCGTCAGGGGGCATCCCGGGGGCTTCCTACAAAGGGCCAAGCAAAGGATCTGGGCTCTTCCCTCAGCAGCTCTACCCCCATCCCCAGGTTCGAGGCACTAGACCAGTCCAGTTCCAGCCAGGACCTGCCATCCACTGTGCATCTCATCCAGGTGACCTCCCCCCCCATACCCCCATCCTAGGCCTCCCTCCGACTCCCATTTCCAGGACCTTCTCTGACCCCTCACCTCCTAATCATGCCACCCTGACTTTGTATATGCTTTCCAGGAGGGCTGGAGGGCTATGGGTGCACTGATAAGCCAGCGAGGCCCCCTCCTGAAGGAGCATCAGACTCTGACCAGTCGCCTCCAGGATCTGATTGAGGAGGCGGAAAGAAGGACCGTGGGGTCTACCGAGAGGTGAGGAGGGTGCCTCTAGGCCATCTCTCCCGCGGACCCCTTGGGTGCTGGACTTTCTGCTCCCCTCTCTCCCCACATCCTTGCCCGGCTGAGCCCCTTCCTCTTGGCTCTCTTGTGCGCGTCCCACAGGCAGGTGATGATGCTGAGGCTGCAGGCCTGTGGCCTGTGGGCAGAGCTCAAGGCCCTTCGAGCCCAGGGCCAGGAGCTGGAGGAGGGAGCTCGGCAGCGGCAGTTTCTGCTGCGGGAGCTCCAGGCCAAGCAGCAGCGGATTCTGTGCTGGCGCCAGCTGGTGGTGAGACACTGCAGCTCGCGGGGAACTGGCCAGGCTAGGCCTGGCCAAGGGCTGGAGGGAGTCTGGGAGACTTGATACAGACCTTGGCCTCCTGAGACAGGAGGGGGCCGGCTGAGGGAGGGCCCTGGGTGAGGCTCTGGAAGAGGCAGGGCCGGGCCTGGGAGGTGGGAACCCATCCAGACAGCCTCCCACTGCCCAGGAGACGACTCAGGGCCAGATCCGCCTACTCATCAAGGGCAACTCAGCCAGCAAGACGCGCCTGAGCCGGAGCCCCGCAGAGGTGACAGGAGTGTGGGGCAAGGCCTGGGAAGGGCCCCGCCTCCTGGTGGACAGGGTTGGGACCTCAGACTGCCCCTCCCTTCCCCCTCTGCGCCACAGGTGCTGAGTTTGGTCCAGAAGAAACTGGTGCCCACATCTGAGGTGGTCGCCCCGCAGAGCCAGGAGCTACTTCGTTGTCTGGAAAAGGAAGCCCAGCTTGTGCCCCACCTGCTGCTGGGCACCCTGCTGCGGCACAGCCCTGAGGGGTGAGACTTGGCTACCTCCCAGCCTCTTGATGATGTCACTTCCTGGGTGGGCCCACTCCAAAAAGAACCTCCCCAGACCCCGGCTTCGGGGCTGCCAGACCTCACCTGGAACCTGGTCTCAGGCCCCTGCCCAAGCTCGGAGCCCAGGTCACAGCCACCACAGTCTTCCTCTCCTGCCCCACAGGTCACTGCCCCTGCCCACCTTCCTGCCGTCCATCCACCAGCTGCATCTTGCCTCCCCGAGGGGCTCCAGCCTCCTAGAGCTGAGCCACTTGCTGGGACTGCCACCTGGGAAGGTGAGTGCCAGCCAGTGCCCTAGGATCTGTCCTCTTGTCCAGCCCCGGACCCCTGCTGACTGCTCCTCTCCTGGCAGGCTCCAGAGCTGCTCCTCCCAGCAGCCACCTCGCTTCGCCAGGACCTTCTGTTCCTCCAGGACCAGCAGAGGCGCCGGGCCTGGCACCTACAACACCTGAAGGCTAGCCTGCCCTCAGGACCATCCACCCAAGGCACGTCTGCGCTTTCTCATATCCTGTTTCTGGCTCCCCTCCCATGCCCAGAGGAACGCACCAGTCTGATGACAGGCACAGGTCCTACCTGTGCCGAGCACCTCCTGGTGCTCACTGGTTTCATCTGTATGGCAGCCCCCAGCTTCCAGAGTAGGAAACCGAGGTGCAGGGAGTCTTGGTAGCTGTCTGCATGGCCAAGCTCGGGTTTAAATCTTTGTACTCCTCACCCCAGGTCTTGCCGCCCACCAATTCTCCTGGCATGCTCTCATGCTGTCATCATCATTTAGTAGCATGTGGCAGAAATTGAAAGTTGGCATTAAGGGCCAAAGAAATAGTAAAGCAAGTAGAGCGTTTGCCTTGTACATAGCTGACCTGGGTACAATCCCAGCTACAAGCATCCCCTGAGACCGCCAGGAGTGATCCCTGAGCACCACCAGGTGTGGCCCAAAACCACAGGAAAGTTGGCATTAAAAGTTGGGAGTTTGGGCTGGAGCAATAGCACATGGGTAGGGCGTTTGCCTTGCACGCGACCAACCCAGGTTCAATTCCCAGCATCCCATATGGTCCCCTGAGCACCACCAGGGGTAATTCCTGAGCACAGAGCCAGGAGTAACCCCTGTGCATTGCTGGGTGTGACCCAAAAAGCAAAAAAAAAAAAAAAAGTTGGGAGTTCAAGTCCTTGGATTCTCTTCTCAACCCTCCTTCGTTGCTACATGACTCTATACCCCCGTTTCTCCCTGGGTGTAGACCTCATTGAGTGACTAGGAAATGAGGCCACCTGGGTCAACCCACTTGGTTGCAAGCCTACAGCAGAGACTGTCCCACATAATTACAGTGGTCTCTCTACGTCACTGTCTTTTCTGCCTTTCACACCGAGGAAGAGGCTAGAGCAGACTGGGAGACTCGGAGACCAACAGGCTGTGGGGCTCAGCGCTGCCTCCCCGTTTCCCCACCCGCAGAACTGCTGCAGACACGAGCGTCCCAGGAAGAGCAGCAGAAGAAGAGTGTGGGGCAGGCCCTGAAGCGGCTGCAGACCCTGCTAGAGCAAGCGCTGCAGCAGATCCCTGAGCTGCAGGGGGCCGTGACAGACTGGTGAGAAGGCGTGATGGTGGAGGCTGGAGTGCGCTGGTGAGGCGGGCAGCAGGGTTGGGGCGTCAGGCCTGTCCTCTGATGCCCTTCTTTTCCCCAGGTGGGAGCAGCCAGGTCAAGCCACCCTCTCTGGGGAGCTCCGCCAGGGCCTGTCCCTGTCCCAGTGGCAGCTGCGCTGGGCCCAAGCCCAGGGTGCTGCAGGCACACTGAAGATGAAGAGGGGGCTCCAGGTGGAGTCATGAGCTTCATGTTTGTTCCCCCAGCACCCTCCACCTCTCCCCCATTAGACCTCTAGAAGGAACCACAGCCCACATATATCAGTAGGTTGCCTCCACCCTTACCTGGACTGGACCTTCAGCCACCTTGTCACTTCATCCCACCAAAATCAAGAGGATGGGATGCTCTGGACTCACTGAAATGCCTCTCAGCAGGAAGGAACAGAGTACTTGCTGTCAACACTGAGATGAGGCACTCACAAGTCAGCAAAGATCCAATTGTGGAGAGAAGGAAGAAGGGCTACAGGAGGCTCTAACAGCCAGCTCCCACTGTGAGCAAGAGAAGGAAGCCCTGTCGGTGTCTGAGGATGTGGATGGGTGGGTATGTTTAGGAGGTAGCTAAGAGATGAACTTGGCTTCTAGTTGGTGTCTATCCATGTTCTTATATCTAAGTCTCTGATCCCTCAGTAAATATGTAAATGGCCCAAATTTTGTCTTATTTTATATATATCCCAGTATTAATAGTTTGTCACTATTAATGGTTCCCTCTGAAGGAGTGCAGTGAACAACCATGAAGACTAGGGAACTTTCTAGAACCCTGGAAATGAATGTGTGTCATGTACAAATTTTCCTGTGTGAAATGGCCCCTCTTGCTCTTACGTTTCATGTTTTCCTGCCTCTGTTGCTTTTGTCCCAAAAGAAATACTTTATATGCACCTGGTGTCAGAAGAAATATAAACATGGTAGGTTTGTTTATGTTTGTTTCTTTGCTTTTTGGGTCACACCCCGCGATGATCAGGGGCTACTCCTGGAAGTACTCTGGGGACCATATGGTATGCCGGGAATTGAACCTGGGTTGACCACATGCAAAGCAAATGTCCTATCCGCTGTGCTACCACTCCAACCCCTAAACATGGTAGTTTTATGAGATACAGTAGCTTTACAAATTAGGGACTGTCTGAGCCCTTTATATGACATGAAATCTGGCCGCACCCACCTTCTTGAACCTCATGGCCTCAGAGCACTCTCACTCAACTTTTTGTATTCCTGACTTCTCCTTTCCCCACTATACCCCTCTACCACCTTACTGTTCCCCCAAACCTGTGTGAGAGCCTTAGCACCTCCCAGTTTTTCTCCATGGAACTTGTTTTTGTTTTTGTTTGTTTTCAAAATTGGGTGGCTAGTGCCTCCCAAGCATAGCTGCAAAGGTCCAGAAACCTCACTGATGATTCTTGGACCCTGCCGTACCTGGTTGAGGAGCAGGGGGGAGGGTAGCAGAGCCACCCCGGTAGTATGGGGGGCTTCCAGACTACACCTGCATCTGGTGATGCTCTGGGCACAAGGAATCAAACGGGTCAGCCACACGCCTAGCATATGGCCTAAGCACTGTACAATCTTCTGGTCCCTGTTTTTCCATGCCCAGGGATCACTCCTAGTGGGGTAATGTAGGGAATCAAACACAAGTCAAACAAATCCCTTGACTGCATCCAAGGGAAGCCCCTTTCCCTCATAATACTATGAGTCCAGCCCCTTTACTCTTTTTTGTGATTAGGGATCAAACCCCAGGCCTCTGAGGCATGTGCTGTCCTACTGAACCACATCATCAACCTGACATTTTCTTTTTTGTTTCTTTTTTTGGCTTCTGGGACACACCTAGTGTGCTCAGAGCTAACTCCTAGCTGGGCTTGGGAAACCTTATGGGAAGCTGGGATCAAACACCTGTTGGCCAAGGGCAAGGAAAGCACCCTACCTGCTGTACTAACTTCAGGCTCCTAATCTAACACAGGTTCTATTTTATTTTTTAAATTGTGCTTCTTCAGAATAAAGTGAGGTCCATAAAGATGAATTCCTCCGTAAACTAAAGAGAAAGTAGGTACTTGGCCTTGCACACAGCCCACTCAAGTTCAATCCCTGGCATTTTTTCTTTTTGGGTCACACCCGGCCATGCACAATGCACAGGGGTTATTCCTGGCTCTGTACTCAGAAATTACTCCTTCGTTCCAACTCCCATATCCTGGCATTTTGTATGATCTCCCAAGCCCCACCAAGAGCCAAGTGTAAACCCTAAGCAGTCAGATGTGGCCCAAAAACAAGAAGCAAAAGTATGTGTATTTGGGAGAAAACTAGGGAAATTTGATTAGTTTGTTAAATCTAGTGAAAGACTAAGAGGATGTGTGTTGAAATATGTCTGCAGCTTTGAAATACTTCAAGACAGGGCTGGAGAGATAGCACCGTGGGTAGGGCGTTTGCCTTGCATGCGGCCGACCCGGGTTCGATTCCCGGCATCCTACATAGTCCCCTGAGCACCGCCAGGAGTAACTCCTGAGTACAGAGCCAGGAGTAACCCCTGTGCATCGCCAGGTGTGACCCAAAAAGCAAAAAGTAAAAAAAAATACTTCAAGACAGCAGAGAATAAGGGTGGGGGAGGACTGAAAGGCATGTAGTTTCGTGTTTGAGTGGAAACACGTTTTGAGGGGTGCCACACCTGGCTGTACTCAGGACACACTCCTGGCTCTGCACTTAGGGATCACGCCTATCAGGTTCAGGGGACCATATGGGGTGCCTGGGTCGGCCATGTGCAAGCACCTTATCCTGCTGTACAATTTATTATTCAGGCACCAAGTGAAACAAGCGGGATATTTGTAACAGTATAGAAGTAAGAGTACTTGCTAAATAGTGCCTCTGCGTTTGTGCATTTTTCAAAATACCTACTATAAAACCTCTTAAGAAAAATGTCAACTATCCCTAAAGATCAAACTGCGTGACCTTCAGGGTCCAAGGCATCTGACCACTAGACTTTCGATCCACTTTGTATGAGCGATGAGAACATTTCTCCCCAGTTTCATCTAGCAAGTCCTCAGCTGTTCACCGCCAGAAAGAAAAAAAAATAATCGGTCAAGCAAGCAGTTCCTCAGAGCTCCCACATCTTGTCCAGGGTCGCTCTGAGAGTCACATCCTGGTAGCGAGCTAACTGTCCCGAAGTGGGAGCCCAGGACCTCCAGCTGTCCAGTTCACACAACCTTGGGGCTGATAAGAACGTCAATGTGTTCCCTCACGACCGCACGGGCAAGTCTCCAAACTTCCCGGCGTTCTCACGATCTAGCTTCCGCGTTGGAGAGCAACGAACAGACTACGGCGCCCTCCGCCTCCCCACAGGCCTGGACGCTTCGACGCGGCACTTCCGTAGAACTAAGCTCTTCATTGGCTCATCTTTCCGGCACCCTGATTGGTTTTTAATTCCTCCTTCGGGTGGGCCCTTCAGGTGTGGCCAGATTCTCATTGGCCGTCTCGCCAACGCTGACCGCTGATGTCATGCGTCAGCGCCCGGCTCCTGGCGATACGTCATTTGTGAGCGCCCAATCTGACGAAGCCGGGGATACACAGCGGAACCGAGAGGGTGGCCGAACTGAGGCGGTAGCAGCGGCGACACCGAAGAGAGCAACGATGGCCGGGGCGGGGCCAGCCCCGGGACTCCCGGGTCCAGGAGGCCCTGTGGTCCCGGGCCCTGGCGCCGGCATCCCAGGCAAAAGCGGCGAGGAGCGCTTGAAAGAGATGGAGGCGGAGATGGCCCTGTAAGGCCCGGGACAAGACGCGACAAAGGCGGCCCCAGAGCCAGAGCCACAGAGCTCTGGGGTCTTCGGACCACGATAAGCTGTTATATGGCGTTATAATGGGAATATGGGATAGGGAGGGAAGTGGGGCGGAGGAAGGAGAATTTGGCAGGGGTGAGAGACCAGTCTTAACGTATCCAGAGTTAAACAGAATTGGTGCGAGGGGCCACAGCTGTGGTGTTTGTGCTTTTCACCCAGGTTTGAGCAGGAAGTTCTGGGGGCTCCAGTAACCGGGATCCCCACTGCGGTGCCAACTGTCCCCACAGTAGAAGCGATGCAGGTCCCAGCAGCTCCTGTGATCCGACCAATTATCGCGACCAACACTTACCAGCAGGTACGGCCAAGCCAAGGCATGTAAGTGAGAGAGCACAGGGCTTCAAACACAGCAAGTGTAAATAGATAGTTGGCCAGATGTTGGCGTGTTGGTTAATTACAGTGACAAACCTGTGCCAGAAGCTGACAGCACAGTAAGGACTAAGATTTAAAAAAAAAAAAAAAAACTTTTCTGCCTGGATTTGGGGGAGCCCTATGGTCTGGTAGAACTTCTGGTAGAACATGAAATGATCTGTATGTCACTGTCACTGGTTCTCCTGTTGTTCATCGATTTGCTCAAGCGGGCCCAGTAACGTCACCATTCTGAGACTTGTTGTTACTGTGTTTGGCATATTGAATACGTCTCTGGTGGCTTGCCAGGCTTTGCCATGTGGACAAGAAACTCTAGGTAGCTTGCCGGGCTCTCTGAGAGGGGCAGAGGAATCAAACCCAGGTCGGCCGCGTGCAAGCCAAATGCCCTAGCTTTACATCTCATTCACTCCCAAGGGCTCAGTAGTAGCCGGCTAGAAAGGATTAGTGGAGTTTCAAGAAAGAAAACAAATGAAACTCGCTCATCCAGTCAACAAAGAATTTGAGTGCCTTACATGCACCCTCTCGGAGAGCCCGGCAAGCTACCGAGAGTATTGGATATGCCAGACACAGTAACAACAAAGTCTCCAATGGAGACGTTACTGGGCCCGCTCGAGCAAATCGATGATCAACGGGAGGGCCTTTACCTTTTACCTTTACCTTTACATGCACTCCAGCATTGGACACCTAGCAAAGAACAAATGAAAACAATCGCGACCTTGGGGTTGGGGAGTTACATGTTTTACTAGAAAGATGTATTACGTAGTAAGGACAGGTGTTTATCGGCAAAGTCAGAGAAGGACCTTCTGCAGTCAGGAGATCCATGCTTTATATGCAGGAGCCCCAAGTTCAGTCCCCAGCACCATTTGGTCCCCTGAGCATTGTAGGAAACACACACACACGCCAGTAGATGGTGCCCTCCTTTATCCTTCAGAGTCCAAGAAAGAGAAAGGGTGGCTTTCTGGGGAGGTGATGTTTAAGCGAAGAAATAAGGGGATGGGAGCCATGCAGGTATCTGGGGAAAGAGGATTCTTGGTAGAGGCAGGTACTTAACTGACATGTTTCTGAGTAGCAGGGAAGTCAGAGTGACTGAAGGTAAATTAGCAAGGAGGAGAGTGGGAAGCAATGAGGCTGGAGAGGTGATAGAGGCCAGATCTGGTGTGGCCTTGTGGGCTATTCTAGAACCTTGGGGTTTTTTTCCCTGCAGTAGGACGCCATTGAGGATTTGTGTAGAGGTGAGGATTTGAGTCAAGGCATCTTCTGAACCAGTTAGATGTCAACAGAGTCATCTAGGCGATGTTTAGAAAACAGACTAGGAAGGGCGAGTAGGATCTGTGAGATAGAAAGAGACTAATGTCACAATTCAGGCACAACGTAATGGCAACCTCTCTAATAGTATAGAAATGGGAGGATGACTGGACATAATGCAGAGTGCTCAATGTTGTGGAGAGGATGAAACAGGTTTGCAGACGTTGTTGCTGGAAGGGGTTAAGGATAACTTTAGCCAACATAATCCTGAAAGCCTTTCTAAAAGTGGGTGTTTTGCTGAGCCCCGAGCCAGCCCCACACAGGGAATGAAATGCTTGGCCTCCCAAGGAGAGTCAGTCTGGCAGATCAGAGAATGGAATCCCGCCTCATACCAACCTTATCCCCACAGGTCCAGCAGACTCTGGAAGCCCGGGCAGCTGCTGCAGCCACAGTTGTTTCCCCT